CTCTACTCTCTCCTATCTCGTTCTCTCGTCGTCGTCGTCGTCGTCTCTCTCTCTCTCTCTCTCTCTCTCTCTCTCTCTCTCTCTCTCTCTCTCTCTCTCTCTCTCTCTCTCTCTCTCTCTCTCTCTCTCTCTCTCTCTCTCTCTCTCGCTCTCTCTCTGTCTCTCTCTCTCCCTCGCCCCACTCCTTACTAAACAGCACACTTCATTAGTAAGTTGTTACAGCCAGAGAATCAACAATTGCTTTGTACCTGACATGATTCAGCTTACATTAGCAAGTGGCTGTGACACTGGGTTACGTTGAAATGTGGATGGAAATGCTCTAGATCCAACCTATATTTCGGTTCATAGAGAAGAGGCTATATTAGACGTTAGTGGCTACCGATCTTTGCACTACCTGTATTTGCTATTAAACAGGAGGGGTTACAATATAATGTTACTAACTGCTGGATGTCTACAGTTTATTTGGCCTAATACCTTAAGGGTACATCAGAAACTGCTTAGAACTGTACTAATGTCCATCGCTGTGTCATGCCTTTTTATTTTAAAACTTTACTTGTGCCTAATTCTCAGGAAAATCAGAAGGCAGCTAAATTTTCCTGCTATCTTCTTTCAACGTTGCAGAAAACCCCGTATATGCTCATATGCAGTAGCACAGCCTACTCTGCCATAATTTTTGTGGTGTCTGCTGCATGCAGCTTCACCTACTTGTCATCGTTATAAACGAAGATGGCGTAGGGTGCAAGGGTACGACCCTACCTCTCCTGATAGCATACCTTGTCAACGAACTGCGAAAGATACTCTACTGATTTCTGCTCAAACCAACTCCGCTATCACTGTTGCTGTAGAATGTTAAAAAATATTTTCAAACATTGGGCAGACCGATTATCTCTCATCCCCATGCTTGATGAGCATATATGCACACGAGCCAACTATGTATGAACACCCTCAAGCGTTTACAATGGCATGCCTTTTGATGTACATAGTGATGAAATGTTTTCAATTATCCACAAGATTATTGCTAAGCTTTTAAAAATAACAACAGCATCCAATTGGCTGGCCTTCCAAGCGTTATCGAGGTAGAATAATATATATACTATTACATGCATAATAGCCCGTCTAGCATTTTTTCCTTCAATATGCCAGTAAAAATATGCACCCATCTAAGGAAATGTTTAATGAACTTTCTGACTTTCCATTACTAGTGCAAAAATTGAACGTCTACTAAAAGGGAATTGTGATAAACACGATATTACAATAATTTGAGCAAGACCCCTTCTGAATATATTCACACAGTTTTCTTGTAGCTACGTGCGATACCATACGTTACCATACGAGCAACTGCACTCCCACCAGCAAAGAACGACGCAATTCCAAGCCGAGTGCAACTTATCCAAGCCCAATGCAACGATGTAATTACAAATTACTCTAGCAGGTGGAGCCACTGTGTACCTACACGATAGCCTCTAGCACTCACAATCTCAATTCTCCCACTGTCATTTAGGGGGATTCCCTGACGATTGGCTATTGACTTTAATCAAATATTAACAGCAGTAATAACAATACGAGCGTCGCATTGGTTCTATATTTGTATTATAATCTTTATATATATGATATATCTAAGATCATTTCATTACATTACGTTTTAGGCTAAAATACAGCTAAATCACTACTTGATAGTTCACCTCTCTCTTATTATTATTTCACGACTTTTTTTAAAACACGTGATTTTTAATTTGACACAAGCTCTCAGGGCTGCCTTGATTTATGTGGCATTATTTGAGACGCTCGAAATATACAGGTGTTCGCTGGCATAGAAAGCTTTATAATGTTTACTTTTAACGTTGCAATAACACAATGACACAAGAACAACATGTGTACTCGACTTGCTTTGTTACTATTAGATACGCACACGCACACGCCCACGAACACACGTGCGCGCACGCCTTCAGCTGCGAGATATCCATATATAGATCTCATAATATGGTTTTCTTGCAGCAACAATACATAAATTGATCTGCATCTGTTAATCGCCATAGTTTCTATCAACGCACGCACGCACGCACGCATGCACGTATGCACGCACGCACGCGCACACAAACATCCATGCCCATCCTTACGGACGTGCACCGTAGCACGCATGCGCCAACGCACCAAAAGACATGGACATGTAGACACATCAATACAGACATGAACACGCACGCACATCCTCGCTGGCACTCACGCACATACATAGCTGAGGCACCGACGCAAATACATACGCAGACATACACCGTACACGACATGGTCATATATAGCTGAGCTATCATAATATGATTTTATATGTTGGTTGGCATACTAAGCAGTTGCTAGGCTAGTTCACCTCATAGATAATCACTCCACCGTTCACCCATAAACTTCAATATCCTTTCATACACTACTTCGTGCTTGCTAAGACATTTTCAACACGTTAAAAATAAAGACGATTTTAAAGTAGTTTGGATATTAAATTCATTCATTCAATCAATTCATTCGTGACACAAATCCGGGCAAAACTTACAACTCCGGCAAATCCTCGCTCAGCTAACAGAGTAGTAGACAAGTGGGCTCCTAAAGCAGACATTTCAGGGACCAGAAATTGTTTTGCGCCCCGTGGTGCTAGTGATGATTAATTAGAGTTAAGAGGGTGGGTAAATGACGGTGATGCTTCAAGTTCAAGTCAAATGAGGTGCGTGGGGTGGGATAGTGATGGCATAGGTGTGAGCTAGAATGGGACTGCAGGTGTAGGCAGAGCATGAGGGTGGAGCGTGAATGTAAGTGGGTGGAGTGGGGAAATGATATAACAAGTAAACGGGAGAGGAAAAGCAGGGATGGGGGTCAATGGTGTATTTGGTAAAAAGGCCAGAGAGGGAGAGGACGGGGAAGGGTATTGGTGTAATTGGTAAAAGGGCAGATAAAAAGGTGTAACAGAAGCAATGTTGTGATCGGTAAGGAAGGGCTGACAGGGATAGGGTGAAGGATGAGCAACGGTGTATATTTTGTAAAAGGGCGGACAGCGAGAGGGTAGAGGAGGAGCAGTGTCATCAGCAGCCATTCATGACATACTGCAAGCCTCCTATCCCATTAACTGTGCGCTTCGTTACAAATACTCTTCGATAGAAGGACTTTAAACTGTTTAATGATGCCGCCAGTTCACGTAAAAGTTACTAAATACCTTTTAAATTACAAAGGGTTCCTTATCTACCAACAGGTGGCGTATAAGTCAGTTGACGTCTGTCCCGATTTTACACAATGTAACAACATGGTAACCCTACTCCCACTGCACTCACTACTCACGCGAGTGCACGGCCGCACGCACGCACGCACGCACGTACGCACGCACACACACTCACGCTAGCACAGCAATCAGCCAGACGGCCCAGTCTGCCTGTACGGCTGCTGCAACAGTCTGGCTTTATCTCCTACAAAACCGCCACAAAATCAATACCAGAAAAGTCTAATCAGGCTTTTAATATGTTGTAGCATAGCCTACATTGTACATATGGCTCTTTAGTTAATTTTCTCCTCTGACTAAGATTTGTAGCATCTATGTAACCGCGTACATATTAAATTGAAGAT